TCGCACACATGATTTGATGTAATACTAGATGATGATAAGAATATCATAGTGTCGTAATAATGAATAATTACTCAGCTACGACATTGATGTTACGAGGGGGGTCAATAAGTCTTTACAAAAAGAAGGAAAAAAAGTTTTTTTAAATAGGCAATTGTTTCCGCGATGACTTTTTCATTCGACATGAATCGTTGTCCGACAAGCCATTTTTTGAGGTTAGGAAATAAGAAAAAATCACTGGCAGCCAAATCAAGCGAATATAGTGGATGGTCAATTAATTCGAACTTTAAATCGTTAATTTTTGCCATCGAAACGTGTAAACTCGAGCATTGTCTTGAAGAAAGAGGCATTTTTTTTTGTTCAAGCGAGGACGTTTTTCTCTGATTTTTTTTTCAGCTGACCTAATAATGACGCAAAATATTGTCCAGTGATCGTCTGGTCCTTTTCCAAGTGGTCGATGTAGATGATTCTATACGCATCCCAGAAAACCGTGGTCATAATCTTGCCAGCTGACTTTACTGTCGGTGCCTTCTTTGGGGCTGGTTCTCCTGCGGTAATCCATTGTTTGGACTGTTCTTTGGTTTCAGAAGTGTAGTCGTATATCAATGTTTTTTCTACATTTACGAGTCGACGTCAACAGTCTTCCGCATTATGACGCATGCGTGTCAAAAGAGCCTCAGATGTGACCACGTGGGTTCGTTTGTTTTCAACAGTGAGCAAACGCGGGCACCCATCTTGCTGGTATTTTTTTCATCTCTAATTTTTCATGCAAAATTGAAATGATTGGACCCTTTGATACCCCTGTGGCCTCAACTAATTCTCACAATTTTAATCTTTTATCACTCAACACCATATCGTGGATTTTGTTGACCATTTCGGGCGTACTCACTTCTACTGGGCATCCTGAACGAGGTTCATCTTTTGTTGTTGTACGGCCGCGTTTAAATTAATTTACCCAGTTATAAACAGTCGTAAACACGGGGGCAGACTTGCCATGAACGGCATTCAACTGAACTCTGATTTCTTTTGGTGTAAGGCCTTTCAAATGAAAATGTTTTATCACCGCTCGAAACTCTGTTTTTTCCATTTTTCAAATAAACCAATAACTTTTTATTCAACCAACGCTCACAAAAAAAAACGACTTAATGAGCCGAGCTGAAACTTTGTACGATATCTAGTTAATAGTATTGCTTGTCAAAAACATCATAATTTAAGCGTGACGAGCGCCATCTCTTGGATTTTGTAAAGACTTATTGACCCCCCCTTGTACTATTTATATTTGTTATCAGAACCTACATAAGATATCTTCTGTTGTAGGGATTTCAAAAGCATCTATCTTAAGGCCTTGACCTAAATGCATGCCAGCTGTAATTGGGTATCGACGTATTCTATTAGGACTACCCTGAAAGAGCTATCTGCAAATTAAATAGGAATTGAAGAATAGCTATTGACGCATTGACTCTGAACAATGGTTCCGCTCAGAAAAATATATGTTCCTTGGTATGGTTCAGAGATAAGGCTTTTCATTGATAAGCACGGTGTAAAGCACAGGCGATACCAGCATACATACTAGGTGTGCTATACTTTGGGACGAGTTTCTTTGGTTACGCAATGTGGTTAATTAGCGTTTAAAACTTAAATGTCTTAGTTTCCTTCAAAAACACTTATTTGACACTCTTGATAATAAGAAAAATATTTAGAAAAAAATGAAACGCCTCGGTTTATTGTCTAGGATAGTAGGGGGATCTTCGCGGTGCTTTACCAGATTACTCGAATGATAATTTTATTTGAGTGTCTCTCCATTTAAAAACATTGACGACATAATGAACACTATAGTGACTAAAATTGCGGATGGTTTTGTTTTAAAATGTATAATTTTCAACGACGTAGTCTATGCAGTATCTTATTTTTCTTCGCAAGTAAGAGGAGTGGATGAAGTCCTCTAGTGATTGATCATGAAAACTCTTTCGATGATTGGTGCTTACTTACTGGCAGTGTTTCATTCCTTCTTTTCCTCCGTGTCTTTCCGTGTATTTAGAAGCATGAGGAGATATTTATTTTTAAATAGAGCATCGTACCATCATTTGCGTCGAACTCTGATCTGATTACTGTGCGCTGTTTCCTATCGAATTTTCGATGGTGTGTCTGGATGCCTCTCAGGAGCAATGAGTACTACTAAAAAGATTGAGTAAATTATGTGTGCGTATATATTTAGTGTAGGGAGACTAATATATCTTTCTTACAAAAAATATCTGGGCTAGCTGTGCTCTGACTCGTGCAGAAATTATTTTATTGTTCTGCTAATATTAAAATCATGAGACTGCGCGAGAATATATACTTAGCAGTATTCTTTACTGCACATAAGCTCAGACCCAGCCTGAATTTAATATTTCCAGGATGAACACACTGATTCGGTCTGGATCTTTTTAAGTTATAAAGGCTCACCTCTGAACCTCGTTACCGTCAGCTATGCGTAATTTTCCAATATTCAGTGGGTTCAAGACAGTAGTACGCGTCCACTACGTCGATCTGGAATCGAATTTTTAAGGATGGTTGGATGTGACTAACTGAAAGCACTATCGCCAGCCCTCTAAAGTTATTTGACTTGATAATTTGTCTGCATTCTTGTCCTCGCTGTATTCTACCTTTACTGTATTGAAATCAAACTACTGCATGAGATTGTCAGAGTTTCCATTCCCATGACTGAAAAAATTCTCTATCTAGACTAATTATGATAAGTTTTTGTTATCATAGTTAACAGCTTTTGTTATCTGACAATAGGCAAAGAGCTTTTTATACTAAAGTTAGTTTTATGACGTTTGTTTGTATAGAACTATCTGTTCTATGAATATAAATATACACTCTTATTTTTTACCATTGCTAAAATAAAGGATATAATCAATCTCCTTCCCTTTCGGATTTTGAGCGCACATGTCCATCGAGTGCCATGAGCCCGGTTTCTACATTGTGATCGTGTATATTGGTACCACATTCGAATTTAACATTTGCTAGTTAGGAGACGAGGCGTCATCTTTTGACGCAAGTTTCCTTGACTGAAATCGCCGGAGTATATAATAAATTTTTATTAGTTGAAATTTTCCGTGTGATTGTGTAAGATTATTCGGCATGTTCTTCGTTCTCAAACTCTATCTCGCGTACGCGCATCGTAACCTGTATGCTGAATAAGTCGCTCAGTAGCTATAGGACTTAATTATATTTTCCCCGTCAAAATAATTTTTATAATAAATAAATTCGTGGGCTGTAATTTAAGTTTCAAATTAATAATTGTCTTTTTACACTTTTCTGAAATATCAGATTTCACGATTTTTCTGGGAAAAGTGTAAGGTTATCTATATGATGAATCAAGGAATAAGATTTATGAATTGTTGACACCAGTCATATCGGCTTCCCTTGAGTTTAACGTAACGAGTCTCTCTCTTGAAAATATCTCTTGTTACAGCAGCTAAATAGTGTGGCGTGTACTAGTAAATCAATAATAAAAATATGTGTACAAATTAAGGAAAAGAAAATAATTGTTCAGGTTTCTCAATTTTAACTACTACTCGTCATAATATTTTTATCTTTCCGTATCCCATTAGAGAAGCTAAATCAATCTTAGAATTGGTAACGGGACTTTTGCTCGAGGTGTTTCGAACAGAAACCGAAACAAAAATTAGTTATTATTCGCGGATGAAATTTATATGTAACAGGCGTTGTCGCTATTCCGTACAAGCCTATGCTCCTGCATAGGCGCGTCCAGGGTCTAGCTGCTTCAGGTTACCTCCTTTATCAAAAGGAAGAAATCGGCCCGCAGAGAGTGTCGTGAGCTACGCGAAAATCAACTAGTGAATAACCGAGAGGGAACGGGGCGTGAATCAATAATGCGACTGACTATTATAAGTAGAGCGGGAGTAGTTAGGTTAATAACTCGACACGAATTTCAGGTAAACAGTAGTTTATATTATCAAGAGGGAAGTCAATACAAATTTTAGAATTCTAGAACGCAAACTCGCCGCAAATCGGGCGACGCACCTCCGTCACGTAGGTTGGTGCAACACAAACACTCATAAACATGAACTCGAGAAAAACGACAATATAAAGCAAACCAGCGCACTGTGTACAAAAGTGTAAATGGACGCGCTCACTCAGTCGCACTCACAGGCGATCGACAATCGACGCAACAAAGCGTCAATACGCGGCATAAATAAATGATAACATGCACCCGACGCAGGATGCAGTAGCAACTGGATCAAACCAAAATTTATACAAGGCGAGCATGAGGAGAAAGAGCATAAAAGACAGAGAAAGTCAAGTGACGAGCTAGTACTTACAGTGCTGATCGCTCGCTTAATTCTTCAAGATTCGTCAGCGCACTCGTTTCGCGGACCTACCTCGCGTATCCGGTTCTTCACTGGTAGGCGATCGTCTTAATGTTCCCGTTCGGGTCCTGTATTATCGCTGTTGATACTGCTAGACGTGCGCATAGCTGTTTTACTTCTCTCCTTGCTACAATTCTCCGCGTCGCTCTCCTATCGTTCGTCCTTCTCACGAGGTGTGCACTTGTCGCCGGTTCGAAGCCAATTGTTCTAATCGCGCCTATTCTTTTTCTCTCTCCTCTCAAATTAATAATCGCATCTCCGCAAGGTCTGCGTCGCGCATTTACTATTGACTATGGTAGGATTGATGCGCCACTTACCGATTCGCTTACATCTGCGCTACAAACATCTTATATAAATAAATACATAGCAATATTACAAATATATTTATTACTGGTTTCGTGGAAGGAGAGAGACATAACGAATTACAAGCCGTTCGTTATAAATTCTATTTTGTGTTTGAAAATTGAAAATATGTACCTTAAAAAATCTCGTTTTTTAATTTTCATTAAGAAAAATTGAATTACAGTTTTAATTACTAGTTTATATTCAATTCTACAATCACTACACACATTTATACCATTTAATTGTTTTAATCAAAACATTTAACCTGTTTAATTTTTACAGGTTACCAAATTAAATAGAGATCCAGAATCAGGAACTGCTTTGCAGGAAATCTCATTTTGGTTAAACTTGGAACGAGCTTTACATCGAATTCAAGAAAGAAGAGAAAGTGTCGAAATATCTTTAACTCTTGACATTTTGAAACATGGTAAGAGATTCCATGCTACAGTTAGTTTTGATACAGATACAGGATTAAAACAAGCCCTCGCTACGGTCAACGACTACAATCCGTTAATGAAAGATTTTCCTATCAATGATTTATTATCAGCAACTGAACTAGATCGTATCCGTTCTGCTATTCAACAAATATTCATACATCTCAGAAAAATTCGAAACACAAAGTATCCAATTCAACGAGTTCTAAGACTTGTGGAAGCAATTTCCAGAGACTTATGTTCACAGTTATTGAAAGTTCTTGGAACACGCCGATTAATGCATATACCTTTTAATGATTTTGAAAAAGTTATGTCTCAGTGTTTTGAACTTTTCAATACTTGGGATGATGAATACGATAAACTAACACAATTACTGAGAGAAGTGGTGAAAAGAAAACGAGATGAACATATGAAAATGGTATGGCGCGTATCTCCAGCTCATAAAAAATTACAATCACGCATGGAGCATATGCGTAGATTTCGCCGACAACACGAGCAATTACGGACGGTTATAGTACGAGTTTTGAGACCCGTACGTCAGAACAGTAATTCCACACTGGATAATAAAGATAATGATATTAAAGTTGATTTCGCATTTGATGCCGCCGATGCTAATGCTATTAGTGAAGTAAATCTAGCCTACGAAAATGTCAAAGAAGTTGATTGCTTGGATATATCGAAAGAAGGTTCAGAATCATGGGAAGCAGCTGTAAATAGATATGAAGAACGTATCGAAAGAGTTGAAGCTAGAATAACTGCTCATTTACGTGACCAATTAGGAACAGCTAAAAATGCTAACGAAATGTTCAGGATCTTTTCGAGATTCAATGCTCTTTTCGTGAGACCTCATATACGAGGAGCAATTCGCGAATATCAAACACAATTAATACAACGAGTAAAGGATGACATAGAAACCTTACATGAGAAATTTAAGGTACGTTATTATACAACTTTAATCAATGTTACCACGTAACCGTACAAAATTAGGATCTTTTTCCGAAATAATAGCATACTTTAAGAATTTTTTGAAAAACGAGACACACGTGTTTTTTTAATCCCGGGATATGTCAATTAATTCACAAAATTTAATCTATTTTCAAGCATAAACAAAAAATTAATTTATACAAAATTTTATAAAGAAAATGAGTTTAAAAAGTTAATTTTGGAAAAAAATCTGAAAAAATATATATTACCCAAACATATATATCTCACTGTTAGCTGACGTGTATTTACATTAAAAAAATGGTCTTTTTCTATTTGCAATTAAAAAAATTGAAAGGAAATTCTAACACATGTTTCGATTTTTATATTGAAAAGTACATATAAAAACTGATATTGTGCATTAAATATTATTTTACACTTACAATCAAATTTGATCCAAGATATAAGTATGTATTCGCCCGGATAATGCCCGGATAAGCTTAATATGGAAATCAATTTTTGATTTACCGCCAAAATACGTTGAAAATATGTATTGCAATATATCAAACCTAACCTATGCAGAAATTTTGGAAGTTTTTTCTACCGTTTCAGATCAGTGTGAATCGCTACGTGGTTTCTACTTGACGAATTCTTACAATTTTTTTTATTCAAACTATAACTCATTAAGTGAGAATTGAAAAACATCAAAAAAAAGAGAAAGAAAGACCTTTTATTGGAAATTTTTATAGTATATTTTTTCATTAGTAAAATATTTTGCGGTACAAATTTTCTGGTTTGTTTTCTTTCGGCTACTCTTCAAGGAAGTAACAAAGTACTCCAACAAAGTATTTGCTAGAGTTTTTTAATACTTTTTTTAATTATGCAAACACGACCATAGAACTTTTTGTAGTCCTAAAGGTTTTTGTAACAATCACCATAAATGTGAATCCGATGAACGTAATCAATCTTATTCTAGTTACATTTCAGTCGTTAAAAATACCAGATAGTCCTATAAATAATAAGAAGATTGCTTTAAAAGAACAAATGAATCGATTTTATTGGATTCAATGAATGATTCATGCGATGATATTGAAATGGTTGTAGAAGATACATTGGATTTTCAAGAACCATACAAAAATATAGATGTACTAATAGTAGAAGGTCAAATTCTGCATAGTATACCCGATTTTACTTATTCACCAACAGATGAGTGCACAAAAGACACAGAAAATTTATCTTATGATTATAAATCAAGGGTAGTACAATACTGGAGAATCAAAAAAAGAAAAACTTTAAGCCTTGAATGTGTAAAATAAAAATTTAGAAAAGTAATGTCTATAAAGCAGCTTCGACGTTGAACTCATGCTTTGAATCAAGGTAGTATAATCGGGGAAAAATTGCTATAATTTGTGAGTGTACATTGGAAAACTTTAAATCAGCAGTCGTTGCTGGACTGATTATTCACGATCTAGACTTACGTAAATGGGCATTACAAGCGTAGAAATAAATAGGCTCTGAAGACTTCTGGTTTAGGGCTTTAAAACACCGATTCAGTCGATTTAAAAAATCACACAGAAAAACATCGAGGCAATCAATAAATTTGTAACTAGAAAAACGTTGGAAAGCGCTACGGCCTTAGAAAAAAAGCAGATGAATTTATGACTGATGCAAAAATTTGGAATAGAAAACATGTAGAATTCAGATCAAAGCGAAAATCATCAAAGATGAAATATGTAAAAGTACTTTTTATATTTATTTTTAGATCACTTTAACGTTTGGTTGGAGAACAATTTCTTGCCAAATATTGGAACAAATATATTATTACTTGGAGTGACCATTGTCCTAAAATGGTAGAAGAACGAACACATCCAAATAAAATTATAAATGTAAGAAAAATTCCAACTGGAAAGATTCAACCACATGATAAATATGGTTTGCAAATTTGGAAAAAGTATGTTGTAATAATATCTGTCCAATACGATACAAGAAAATAAATTAAACCCGAGACTCTTTGAATGGCACGACAGTCACTTCACGAGAGAGGGAACTACTACCTAAATCAACATAAATTAATATTAAACATCTTATTTTTATTGGTTGCAACCAGTTTATTTACAATTATTAACAAATGTTATGTTTTGGTAATAACAAATACAGTGTTATTCTACTTCATGGCGTACAATCGTAATAATGTTGACGAGATGACAACGATGCTGATTGTTCAAACAACGACTAATTATATCAAAGCTACTTACGGTATGATGTTATTCAATCTTGATGGGCTCTCGATGGCTCACCGCTCACGATCCTTGATGCTAGGCTTGTCACCACCACAGAGCTCGAGGACTTGAGAGAAAAAGCGACGCAATTCTGAAAACCCATTTACCTCTCCTCGCTCTTGGACAATGCCTCATCAGTATTAAGATCGTTTTTCTCTTTGTTCTGTCGTTGTGCGTTCAGCGAAGTAAGTCCAAAATCGCGCTGATATTTATTCGGCAACTGAGAGCGATGTGTCGATACAAGCGGCAACCAAGCAAAAGCCCCTCATCAATCCCCTGTATCGCCTTCTTATTTATGTACCATACGAACATTAGGGCCAATTCGCACTCAGCGAGTTTCAGTATCCGCAAGATCCGAAATTTCAGCAATTTGCAAGATCTATGCGTCACAATGTTCAGCATTTTCAGATGCTGTCTTGGGAAGGAACTACATTATGAAGTTGCATAACAGAAATAATATTATAAAACTACAGTCCATAATTAATTTTTATCGCTGTGATATAAAAATTTGTTCAAGTATTCATGGTACGCCAGCATATATTGAAGAACAACCTGAAAAATTCAAAAATTCCATTGATTTCGGTTTTGGAGATTCTTGACAAACATTCTGAGAAATTGAGGGTTGTAGTAATGTAGCTATAGTTCACTGTAGTTGGTGTAAGAAATCGCTATACTTCAAACACTTTTTTGAAGATTATCACTATTCGGAAAAAGATCTCAATTTTGTACTGATATATGGTAAAAGATTCGAAGGGTAGCTACCCTCTTCGAAAATTCTATTTAGAAAAAATACAGAAATATGTCAACTGCGATGTGTATTTGTATGTAACATATATTTTTTCAGATTTTCTCGCTCAAAATTAACTTCTTGAAGTCATTTTTTATGAAATTTTTTATAAATAAATTGTTTATTGATACTGTGACGTCGGTTGATGAAACAATTCTCAGCCGCACTTTTTGGTCTATCCTTGCGGACAATAACCGGGACGTGCGTTACCACTATCGCAGGAAATTCCTTTTTTCGGCGACGGAGGATCGAAGCTCTGCTACACCACACACTTGGCAATATAGCAATGCTTCGCGTTATTTTACCACACTCTAGGCGATAAAATAACGTAAAGGGGGACCTATCTAATATGCACTCGACCACACGCTCGGCAATCGAGTGTAAATATCTAAAAGGCAGACCGTCCGCGAAACTAAAATAGGAAAGAATACGGAGAGAAAAGGATGCAAAAAGAAGTTAGAGAAAAAAGGAATTTAGTTTAATTTTCTTTACTTACTTTCGCCTTAATTTCCCACACACACCAACAAAACGAAGTCAAAAAAAAAGAGTTGCACGAATCAAATTAACTTGAACTAACGAACGAACTAAATCTGAACTGGAAAATAACTGCTAACTTTGAACGAACTGAATTTAGAAAAATAACTACCTGATTTTCGTGAAAAGATCTCTTTTATACTTTTTCACAGGAGACTCCCACTCGAAAATCTTTGTCATTTTTGGGCAGGAAGAACTCAAATTTTCTCAACTTAATTGGTTGGAAAATTTGGGGAGTATCTCAGCGTAAGCAAGGTTCGAACCCTAATTGGCCGGAGGCGGAGTGTGCGGGTGTGGCCTCATTTTAGTGTTTTGGGCCCTCTTTTCATAGATGGCCCTCTATATGTTATTTTGGCCTTTAATTATTTAAACTCATTCTATTTAAAATTAATTGTGTGTGTGATACTCTAGTTTTACAAAAATGTTTCTTAATCTATAATAAAACTAAAGGAGAGAACAAAAGTTAAGAGTTACGTTTATCTAAAACAATCAGGATATTAATAGCTTTAACTATTAATTAATTATTAAAAAGCTTTGAGAAATGCTAAAAAAATCAGAGTTAATTACAACAAACATAATTAATAACTTTCGTTCAAGCCATTCTTAAATTGTCTAACGCAAAGTTGAGCGCATCCAACAATTATATATACGAAACTCGCAAAGAAAATAATCCAATAAATTTCGCAAGTTTTCAAGAGATTTGCAGCAAATGTGCTTCCTTCAATTTAAATGAAATTAGTAATAATTAGAATAAATTTTTTTAAAATAACATAATCGTACTGTTGGTAGGATGCACATGTGCGCTGCAGATCCCTACTTTCTAAACATGCACGCAATCTGGCTAACTCCGGATGACGCGATCGTAAAATCGCTCTGATTGTTTCCAACATCTGAAAATTGCCAGATGCGCGAGCCGAAAACTGCCGTTCACAGGAAAAATTTTCTTTATTCAGCTGTACGCAGTTTTTCATCTTGATTTACGAGCTAAGTGTGTGGTCGGTATTTTTTTGTCTTATTTTTTTATATGTTTTTCTTCTCTTTTTTTTTGAGCCGCCGTTACAATACTTTAAAAAAGATTAATTTTTGTCAACAAATCAACATTCTTCATTCTTTTCAGTAACATAAATTTTCCACTCAGTTTGGTTAAAAAATATTAAGTTATTTTATTAAAAATCCGTAAACCACCCCTCGGCGATCAAAATTTTGAGGGGCTATCTCACCTCCTAAAAAGCTTTTCCGCAGTTACAAAAACCCGTGTGTTTTATTTTTCAAGGATTTACAGCATATCAGAAAAAATACTGGAATGGGCGAGGGACACCTAGGGTACCTTCCTTGTGAGTGACTTTTGCTCTCACAAGCGTAATATCTTGAAGAGGTGGAAGTATGTTTTCTTGTTGAAGCACAAGTGCTCCT